GAAACACGAGCCATTTTTCACGTGCAAACTGTTTAGTGCTACAGAGTGCCAGTTTAATTATTAAAAAAATGGCTGCCAAACACCTAAATTGATATAAAAAGCCTCTGTGGCAAAACGTTTTAATATTCATTTATCTTGCGCTTAACTATCAGCTCTAAAAAACAAAAAAAACCCAAAACCTAACTTTTAAATTAAATCTAACATATAAAAATGTCATTGTACAGGAGGAGCAATACAAAATAAATTCACTTAGTAAGAACCTCAGGTATTCTTTTTTTTTTTTTTTTTTTTTTCTATGTGCATTGTAGATTAATTTGGAGCTATGCAATAAAATGGAAAAAAACAACAATCAAACCACAACACACATTTTGGAATAGGCTTAATAAATCAGAAGGTATTTTAATACAGTGGAGAAGGAAACGTATTAATAGAGAAAAAAAAACCACTTTTTTCCATGTATATGTTTGCCTTTGCCGAATACTTCCTGCGTCCAGCAGAACTTGTGGCTTTCCTTAAATTTCCTTTTCCACATTAATCACGATTTATATAGCTATGAAGCTGGAACCTCCCTTTTCACAGGGTATTTCTTCCACTTTGGATAAGAAATACTTCACGTAATCAGAGCAATTATGATAGAAACACAACAAGTTACACAGTGCAGGACACATGCACCAGCAACAGCTCTAGAGCACTTTTCCCATCTAAAACAAAGAACATTTAAAATGTTTAGAAATTATTGGTCAAGTCTGAATTCTTTAGAACGTGGTGTGAAAACTACTTCTCATGGAATTAGGACTGTCTTGGTTTTTAGCACCTCCAGCCTCGAGAGGCACAGCAGCAACCAGAGCTGATCTTCATTAGCATCAGGCCTCTGTTCGGTCTGAATTCAAGTGCGCCGAGCTCACAGATGCCCAAAAGAAGTGGGGTTTCCACCCAAGTATTGGCTGAACTTTACCTCAACTAGTCAATGAGGTTTCAACATTTGTTAAACTGCAACCCAGAAGGCTAATTAGAAAATTTTTCAGCTCTGCGGACAAATAACTGAAGAGGAGAGTCCTAGTCGTGCCCTGACTGCACATTTGTGGCTCCCATCCCACAGGGCTTGGTAGTGCAGAAACATCCCCAAGGAGATGAGCGGTGCCGACGGCCGCACGTCGCGGCCGCGCAGCAGGAGCAGCCTCTTCCCGGCGCGGGCGGGAAGGCTGCCTGGACACAGGGCACTGCCGCCAAAATCCAACCCCTGCTTTCGCCGGCCGACACGAGCAGCGCGGTTTATCTTGCCCTTTTCTGGCTCTCCTGATGAAATAACCAAAGTAGTCACTAAGGGACTAAAGTCCATCTACTCTCTAGCTCCCCTTCAGATTAAATAACCTCTTATTAGTTACAGAAGAGCAGCACACAGTTACAGACACTTTTCTTCCTGAAGCAAAATGAAATTAAGCAGCACTGCTCTGAATTACAAAGACATTAACAGCTTTCTCCTGCAAGGGCAAGAAACATGAAAACTGTGTTCAGTACTTTTACCTTATCATGGTGGAAATAAATCTAAAGTTAAAAAAGAAAGGCTTAAGGAAAAATAGTCATTATTTCAGTTGGTTTACTCCCACATAGCTCCAGTACGCATAGCTGGCCAAAAAGATGTTCTTCCACAATACTCTTTTTAGGAATTTTTTTTTCCTCTCACATATCTAGAGAAGATATAAAAATTTCACTGGATAATTAAACCTTTTGGAATCCTGAAGAAGTTTTACATTTATTGCAATTGAGCAGCAGCACAACCTGGGTACACAAAACCACCCACAGCAGTTTGGCACTTACCTGTGCGCATCCTGGGGCGACGCAAACACGCGCTCCCCGCTGCGGCTCCTCCTGGGCCACGCGCGGGGCTGCACCGCGGGCTGCACCGCGGCGCTCAGCGCAGAGCTGCAGGTGGGCTGCACTGCAGGCTGCACCGCGGCGCTCAGCACAGAGCTGCGGGTGGGCTGCACCGCGGGCTGCACCGCGGCGCTCAGTGCAGAGCTGCAGGTGGGCTGCGACGCGCCGCAGCCGGCGCCGGCAGAGCGCGGAGCTGCCGCCACGGGCCCTCGGGAGAGGCGTTTGCCAAGGTACTGCTCAGGAGCCCAGCTCAGCGAGCAAGCTTTGCAATTCTACTACTACATGAGAACGAAGACAAAACTTCTTTCATTCTACTCATTAAGAACTGAGGAAACACTAAGAAAAACCCCAGTGAAGATTAAAACATAGCACGGGGCTTCCGTATTCATCTTGAACATCCCTTAACTTAGATATTTCCCTGCAAGCGTGCCTGCACAAAGGCCACGCCGCGCTGTGACCGCGGGGCAGCGCGCCGCGCGCGGGCGCTCACCTGCGCAGACTGTCCTTCTTCTCCTCCCTCGCCAGGCAGCCGTCCAGGTGCTTGTTCACGTAGGGCTCCGGAACCGGCACCCCGCACACGGGGCACTCCACTGCAAGGACACGACAGTCACTGCCCCCACTGCAAGGACACGACAGCCCCTGCCCCCCCGCCACCGGCGCCGACACCCCAGCCACTGCACTGACACACGGGCCACTGCAAAGGCAGGCCTTGCTGGGGAAAACGACTGTTGTTGGCCGAAGAAACACCAAAAAGATCTCCAGATTCCTTTTTGAAACGTCTGGCACATCTAAGCGGAGTCTTTGCTCTTATCAGTCATTTTTTACTCCAGAACATTTATTCTCCTTTATATATGAGAATACGTCTTGTCTTCTGTGCACAGTTGGATAGAAAGAAGTTTCTAACACAAAGGTAGAATAATGTACATACTACATGGAAAGCTAAGGATTAATAAAAAAATAGAAATAAGTATATTTCTGTGACAGCTTCTCACTTGCACAGGATTTCACTCCTAAACAAAGGAAGATGCTTTACCCTAAGGGGACGTCACGTTAACGGCGTTCCCGGGTTATGGCTCTCCATGCCCGGCCGTAGGAGCAGGAACGCGGTGACCCAGCCATGCCCCACGCTCCCCTTTTAGGAAAGCCAGCTAGACTGGGTGACTTGGGTGACTTGGGCTCCGAGGATCCGAACGCCCCAGCCTCAGCCAAACCAAAGTTCTTCCTGCATCACATTTTCAAGAAGCCAGTATAACACCACAGTGCAAAGACCGCCAAAAAAAGTTTTAAAATGCTTGTTTTTGCAATTACATTCTGACAAAACTAGAAGTCTAACTTTAAACGAACAGCAGATTAAGATCATTTAAGCTGCACCTTCTATATTAATGTCTGTTTTAATAATAATTAAAGAGTGAAATGTGAGAATTTGAGAAACTAATTTACTCTCAAGACACTGATTTGGAATTCCTGACTCCCAAAACATTATATTCCAGCAGGAAGTTAAAAAAATAGTAATAACTGAGCAACAATATTAATAGACACAGCTCTGCAGTCTCTGTCTATTGCTGCATTTGAGGTTTATGCTTCAATATGTAATGCAACAGCATATATCTAACACTTAATAGAAAAGCCTTCAGCACTGCCTCTGGCTTACGTTGTTTGACTAACTTTCATTTGTTGAAATAATCTCAATGTAATTTATGCTAGAGAAGGTAATAGGGTCATAAAATGGTGATCAAGTGCTCGAAAGCAAATTTCATATTTGATAAGTTTTAAGTTAGGACCGTGAGCACAGGTGCAGAGAACTAGAGAACAGCCCTCTTGGCTCAGCTCGTGCTGGTTTCACAGGGCTGCTTTCCTGCCTCTCTTTCCTGCTTTAAGCAGTATTTTCCCAGCTACTGAACAGATACGAACTTCAGAGTTCTAGTCTCCCAAGTTGCTAAATAAAATTTTAAAGAATAGATAAATATGAACTAGTAACAATCAATGTTTTACTCCTACGAGGTCCTCTATTTTATATTAATTTAGGTTTTTAATAGACTCAGTAGGATGATGTCAAAAGACGGTTGTGTCGTTTTCTTATAGTTGATTAATTCTGAAACATGAGAAGGTCCATTAAAACTGATCTTAACACTGTAGAATTATGGAAGAATAAAGCAGAATACTTTCTTCTAGAGAGTATATAAACAAGAATATTACCAAAGCTGAAGCCACCATGATTTTGTGTATATATCCCAAAATAATAATAAAAAAGCACTATAAAATAACTTGCTTCTGATTACTGGAGAACACGAGAGCAGAATGAATGATGATGTCTGTCTGGTCATTAAAGGGAAGGAGAAGAGTAAATGACTTCATGTTCTACTGAGCTAATCGGTTGTGTTTTTTTTCTTTTTTTAAAGCTGTTACTAAAAACAAAGGAATCTTTAAGAGTTGACCTTCACTTATTTGCTTGGCATCAGCCCGAAGTTCCCCATCAAGACGATGCTCGTCGCACAGCCCCACACACTCACGCTGTCACAGGG